AGGCACCCGCCACAACGCCTGGCTATTTTTTGGTTGCAGCCATCATTGTTGTTTGGCGGGCCCAGGCTGGATTCAAACCCACCAACTTAGGTGTATGTGGCTGGTGCCTTAGCCACTTTAGCCACAGGCACCAAACTCTGGCTATTTTTTCGTTGCAGTTTGGCTGGGGCCGGATTTGAACCCGCCACCCTCAGTATATGGGGCCGGCGCCCTACCCACTGAGCCATAGGCGTGGCCCAGTGGTCTGTTTTTCTATACTGTAATGTAAATACCACAAAAGCAAGTTATTTGGTTTTTGTCCACTGATGGCTTTCATAAATACATATGCATGTGTGTGAGTATTTTTTTTAGAGATAGGGGTCTCATTATGTTTCCCAGGCTGGTCTTGAACTTCCAGGTTCAAATGATCCTCCTGCCTTCACTCCTGCCTTTGCTCCCTGAGTAGAGTTGGGACTATGGGTATGCACCACCGCCACTGGGCCTGGTGCCATAAACATTTAATGAATTTAGTTGTCAGGATTGCCACTCTGAGTTGCCTCTAGGTTTTTGTTTGTTTGTTTGTTTGTTTGAGACAGAGAGTCTTATTATGTCACCCTCGATAGAGTGCCATGGCGTCACAGCTCACAGTACCCTCAAACCCTTGGGTTTAAGAGATTCTCCTGCTTTAGCCTCCTAAGTAGCTGGGACTATAGGTGCCCGCCACAGTGCCCAGCTATTTTTTCATTGCAGTTATCATTGTTGATTTTAGCTGGCCCTGGCTGGGTTTGAACCTGCCAGCTTTGGTGTATGTGGCCAATGCCCTACCCACTGACCTACAGGCGCCGCCTTGGCTCTAGGTGTTTTTGTTTGTTTGTTTGTTTTAGAGACAGAGTCTCACTTTGTCACCCTCAGTAGAGTACGGTGGCATCACAGTTAACAGCAACCTCCAACTCCTGGGCTTAGGTGATTCTTTTGCCTCAGCCTCCTGAGTAGCTGGAAGTACAGGTGCCTGCCACAACACCTAGCTATGGCTCTAGGTTTTATTGATTGGTGGGGACTAGAGGGCTAGGGCCTGTTTTTCAAACTCGAACCACTTGTCCACCCCACCCTAGGCTCAGAGAGGTCAAGTAACTTACTCAAGATCACACAGCCAGGAAATGCCAAATTTAGATCTTGAACATGGGTCTCAATAGCTCCTATGTTATTTACAGTGAGTGGGACCAAGCAGAAAGCTCATTATCCTTGTTAAGAAGCTACGTTTAGGCTCGGCGCCTATAGCTCAAGCGGCTAAGGTGCCAGCCACGTACACCTAAGGTGGCGGGTTCAAATCCCCGGTCCGGACCCGCCAAACAACAATGACGGCTGCAACCAAAA